ACATAAATGAAGAGTAAGAGAAAACCATGAGTTTCAGATCATGGGGAAATGAAGAGCAATGGATGAAGGGTTGATTACATTTACATTACATTTTAGTCATTTAGCAGACGCTCTTATCCAGAGCGACTTACAGGAGCAATTACGGTTAAGTGCCTTGCTCAAGGGCACATTTACGTCATTTAGCAGACGCTCTTATCCAGAGCGACTCACAAATTGGTGCATTCACCCTATAGCCAGTGGGATAACCACTTTACAATTTTTTTTTTTGGGGGGGGGGGGGGGGGGGGTAGAAGGATTACTTTATCCTATCCCAGGTATTCCTTAAAGAGGTGGGGTTTCAAATGTCTCCGGAAGGTGGTGAGTGACTCCGCTGTCCTGGCGTCGTGAGGGAGCTTGTTCCACCATTGGGGTGCCAGAGCAGCGAACAGTTTTGACTGGGCTGAGCGGGAACTATGCTTCCGCAGAGGAAGGGGAGCCAGCAGGCCAGAGGTGGATGAACGCAATGCCCTCGTTTGGGTGTAGGGACTGATCAGAGCCCGAAGGTACAGAGGTGCCGTTCCCCTCACTGCTCCATAGGCAAGCACCATGGTCTTGTAACGGATGCGAGCTTCAACTGGAAGCCAGTGGAGTGTGCGGAGGAGGGGGGTGACGTGAGAGAACTTGGGAAGGTTGAACACCAGACGGACTGCGGCATTCTGGATGAGTTGTAGGGGTTTAATGGCACAGGCAGGGAGGCCAGCCAACAGCGAGTTGCAGTAATCCAGACGGGAGATGACAAGTGCCTGGATTAGGACCTGTGCCGCTTCCTGTGTAAGGCAGGGTCGTACTCTCCGAATGTTGTAGAGCATGAACCTGCAGGATCGGGTCACCGCCTTGATGTTAGCGGAGAACGACAGGGTGTTGTCCAGGGTCACGCCAAGGCTCTTCGCACTCTGGGAGGAGGACACAACGGAGTTGTCAACCGTGATGGCGAGATCATGGAACGGGCAGTCCTTCCCCGGGAGGAAGAGCAGCTCCGTCTTGCCAGGGTTCAGCTTGAGGTGGTGATCCGTCATCCATACTGATATGTCTGCCAGACATGCAGAGATGCGATTCGCCACCTGGTTATCAGAAGGGGGAAAGGAGAAGATTAGTTGTGTATCGTCAGCGTAGCAATGATAGGAGAGGCCATGTGAGGATATGACAGAGCCAAGTGACTTGGTGTATAGGGAGAAAAGGAGAGGGCCTAGAACTGAGCCCTGGGGGACACCAGTGGTGAGAGCACGTGGTGCGGAGACAGCTTCTCGCCACGCCACTTGGTAGGAGCGACCGGTCAGGTAGGACGCAATCCAGGAGTGAGCCGCGCCGGAGATGCCCAGCTCGGAGAGGGTGGAGAGGAGGATCTGATGGTTCACAGTATCAAAGGCAGCAGACAGGTCTAGAAGGACAAGAGCAGAGGAGAGAGAGTTAGCTTTAGCAGTGCGGAGAGCCTCCGTGACACAGAGAAGAGCAGTCTCAGTTGAATGACCAGTCGGGACTGATCAGAGCCCGAAGGTACAGAGGTGCCGTTCTGACTGGTTTGGATCAAGAAGGTCATTCTGAGAGAGATAGCAAGAGAGTTGGCTAAAGACGGCACGCTCAATAGTTTTGGAAAGAAAAGAAAGAAGGGATACTGGTCTGTAGTTGTTGACATCAGTGGGATCGAGTGTTGGTTTTTTGAGAAGGGGAGCAACTCTCGCTCTCTTGAAGACGGAAGGGACATGGCCAGCGGTCAAGGATGAGTTGATCAGCGAGGTGAGGTAGGGGAGAAGGTCACCGGAGATGGTCTGGAGAAGAGAGGAGGGGATGGGGTCAAGCGGGCAGGTTGTTGGGCGGCCTGCAGTCACAAGTCGCAGGATTTTATCTGGAGAGAGAGGGGAGAAAGAAGTCAAAGCATAGGGTAGGGCAGTGTGAGTAGGACCAGCAGTGTCATTAGACTTAACAAACGAGGATCGGATGTCGTCAACCTTCTTTTCAAAGTGGTTGACGAAGTCATCCACAGAGAGAGAGGAGGGAGGGGGGGGGGGGGGGGGGGAGGATTCAGGAGGGAGGAAAATGTGGCAAAGAGCTTCCTAGGGTTAGAGGCAGATGCTTGGAATTTAGAGTGGTAGAAAGTGGCCTTAGCAGCAGAAACAGATGAAGAAAATGTAGAGAGGAGGGAGTGAAAAGATGCCAGGTCGGCAGGGAGTTTAGTTTTCTTCCATTTCCGCTCCGCTGCCCGGAGCTCTGTTCTGTGAGCTCGCAATGAGTCATCAAGCCACGGAGCTGGAGGGGAGGACCGAGCCGGCCGGGAGGATAGGGGACACAGAGAGTCAAAGGATGCAGAAAGGGAGGAGAGGAGGGTTGAGGAGGCAGAATCAGGAGATTGGGGGGAGAAGGATTGAGCAGAGGGAAGAGATGATAGGATGGAAGAGGAGAGAGTAGTGGGAGAGAGAGAGCGAAGGTTGCGGCGGCGCATTACCATCTGTGTAGGGGCAGAGTGAGTAGTGTTGGAGGAGAGCGAGAGAGAAAAGGAAACAAAGTAGTGGTCGGAGACATGGAGGGGAGTTGCAGTGAGATTAGTAGAAGAGCAGCATCTAGTAAAGATGAGGTCAAGCGTATTGCCTGCCTTGTGAGTAGGGGGGGACGGTGAGAGGGTGAGGTCAAAAGAGGAGAGGAGTGGAAAGAAGGAGGCAGAGAGAAATGAGTCAAATGTGGACATAGGGAGGTTGAAATCCCCCAAAACTGTGAGGGGTGAGCCATCCTCAGGAAAGGAACTTATCAAGGCGTCAAGCTCATTGATGAACTCTCCAAGGGAACCTGGAGGGCGATAGATGACAAGGATATTAAGCTTAAATGGGCTAGTGACTGTGACAGCATGGAATTGAAATGAGGAGATAGACAGGTGGGTTAGGGGAAAAATTGAGAATGTCCACTTGGGAGAGATGAGGATTCCTGTGCCACCACCCCTCTGACCAGATGCTCTCGGGGTATGCGAGAACACATGGTCAGACGAGGAGAGAGCAGTAGGAGTAGCAGTGTTTTCAGTGGTAATCCATGTTTCCGTCAGCGCCAGGAAGTCGAGGGACTGGAGGTTAGCATAGGCTGGGATGAAGTCAGCTTTGTTGGCAGCAGAACGGCAGTTCCAGAGGCTGCCTGAGACCTGGAACTCCAGGTGTGGGGTGCGTGCAGGGACCACCAGGTTAGAGAGGCAGCAGCCACGCGGTGTGAGGCGTTTGTGTAGCCTGTGCAGAGAGGAGAGAACAGGGATAGGCAGAGGCATAGTTGACAGGCTGTAGCAAATGGCTACAATAATGCAGAGGAGATCGGAATGAAATGAACTAAACATCTGGGAGAGGAGAGAGCAGGGCCTCCCTCACCAAAACTTCCACCTCAGAAACTATAATTGTTTCACTGAACCACCCGAACAAAAACTCTCCCAACTTCCACCTTTAGAAATCAGAATTGTTGTGAACCACAGCGGTTCAATGTTTAAAGGAATAGACTCAACCCACTTTATTCAGCTAGCTAACTATGACACCATAGCTAACTAGCATGCTAGCATCCAATAACACACAGTTTAGCACCAACACTTGGTCACAACAAACCACCAATAGTGTGTTGACACACTAAGCAGATAATTCGTGTCCGTGTCTAGTTCCTTTCATAACGCAGCAATAATTAAACGTTGGCTAGCTTAGCACAAATATATTGTATTTAGCTGCCACAGTACAGCACACAATGGCTACTGTGTTGACTCTGTTCGAAAAACGGCTAGCTAGCTAGCTTCGTGCTACACCCGGCACCGCCGAAGACAATGCCAACCTACAGTAACTACCCACAACAGCCCACGATGCCTAACTATGACACCATAGCTAACTAGCATGCTAGCATCCAATAACACACAGTTTAGCACCAATACTTGGTTACAACAAACTACCAATAGTGTGTTAACACACTAAACAGAGAATTCGTGTCCGTGTCTAGTTCCTTTCATAACGCAGCAAAAATTAAACGTTGGCTAGCTAGCACATTAACATTGGAAACAACTCTCCACCGTTGCTAAACGTTACCAGTAGCTACCCGCTAGCTAGCTAGCCTCGTGCTTCGCCGGGCTCCGCCGTAAACAATACTTACCTACAATAATTACCTACGGAAACCTACAATAACTACCTAAATAACTACCTAAATAAACTACCTACAATACCTAACTACAACTACCTACCTACGATCTAAATGCATGAATTCATTGAAGCAGTTGGGAGTGATTGGAGGGGACTGTCAATGGTAAAAACATAATTCATAAACAGCTGTGGATAGGCTAAAAGGATTTAACAGTGTATAATAGTTGTCCCGGGTAATGAGGATCGGTCTCCGCTTGTCCGTCTGTTCGTTCGTAAGTTAATCACGCGATATCTCAGACAGCACTGGCCCGATTTTGACGAAACTTGGGTGAGTGGTGCGTCTTGCCATAGAGATCTGGCATTTACTAAATTATACTGATTGCCCAAAGGCGGGAGCTATAGTAATTTGAGAAATGTGTGAGTCACACCAGAGAGGAAGAAGCGAAGCATGTGGCGTTTTTTCTTTGGCACATGACATGGAGTACAGGGAATGGATTAGCTAAAGAGATGGGACCCAGACTAACTGCCTTCCATTTTTAAAGACATTTATTGTCGTTGTCAGAGCAGCCACTTGAGTATCTGGTCAATATCATTTATAATCTGTGGTCACACACCATAACTGAAATGTGTTAGTCACACACAATATCTTAGTACAGTCATATCTTGGGTTATGATAGGATAACATGCAGTTGTACTAACCTCAAGGCATTTAGAAGTTATACTATTCAAGAATCAATCATTCAAATGAACAGCAGGCAAAAATGACATTCAGTAGATTTGGGTTCAAAATCAGAAGGCAAAAATCATCCTAGGCCTAAATGAAAGTGGGATAAAGGGATTAAAACAATTCTAGTAGTAGGCTAGCAGTGCACAGATGACATGGCAAGCACCGAACAGTCTGCTGTTGACTATGTCCAAAATAGCAAAATACTTCTTGTGGATAGCCTTGAGAACCCCACCCTGGTTATTGACCACTTGCATGAGCAAATGGTTCTCCTTGAGGAGGAGGTCTCTTACCTGTCCTCCATGTATGAGAAGTCTGATAGATCCAGAAAAATGCTGGACCTGACTGTTTGCAAAGGGGAGCCTGCCTGCTATGAGCTTTTAAAGATATTGTACACCACCAGGAAAGTTTCACTGAAACAAGATATGCATTATTGGATCAGCTGCTTTTCTTTCGGAGATGACCCAGAGCTACAGAGTGACTTCACTCCTACTGGTATGTGATATTGACAATTAAATCTGATTTGTGGTAACTTAACACTAACTGTAAAATTGTTATAGAGCATGCATTACACATCTATAAGGACTAAGCAAAGCGTAAACATCACATCATAGCTACATAGAGCATTATTAAAGCTTAAAGGGGAACAACATCCAAAACCATTCATTTATTATTGCTCCTAGAACTCCATGGCTCAGTTATAGACAGTTGGTCAGGACCCGCTCCTCTACCCTTTAGCTAGACCAAGCAAGTGCCTAACTCTGCTAACTCTGCCTTGCCACCGGACTTCCTCAGCCACTGATTTAGTTAGAGCTTTAGTCATTTAGATAGCATAAGAACACATCATAAGCCATAGCAAAATGGGTCTAATAATTGCAGGAAATTACCTTTAAAAACAGAAACATTTTCTCTCCGCCGCCTAGAGGGTGGTCTCTGTGATATAACACATCTTGGTTGACATTATGACACCTTATCAAGCCCAACTAACTCCTCCATGCGGCTTCCTCTTCAAACATAACAATCCCAGTATCAATATGAATACAATCGTTAAGCTTTAATAATACCCCATATACAGTGGGGAGAACAAGTATTTGATACACTGCCGATTTTGCAGGTTTTCCTACTTACAAAGCATGTGGAGGTCTGTAATTTTTATCATAGGTACACTTCAACTGTGAGAGACGAATCCAGAAAATCACATTGTATGATTTTTAAGTAATTAATTTGCATTTTATTGCATGACATAAATATTTGATACATCAGAAAAGCAGAACTTAATATTTGGTACAGAAACCTTTGTTTGCAATTACAGAGATCATACGTTTCCTGTAGGTCTTGACCAGGTTTGCACACACTGCAGCAGGGATTTTGGCCCACTCCTCCATACAGACCTTCTCCAGATCCTTCAGGTTTCGGGGCTGTCGCTGGGCAATACGGACTTTCAGCTCCCTCCAAAGATTTTCTATTGGGTTCAGGTCTGGAGACTGGCTAGGTCACTCCAGGACCTTGAGATGCTTCTTACGGAGCCACTCCTTAGTTGCCCTGGCTGTGTGTTTCGGGTCGTTGTCATGCTGGAAGACCCAGCCACGACCCATCTTCAATGCTCTTACTGAGGGAAGGAGGTTGTTGGCCAAGATCTCGCGATACATGGCCCCATCCATCCTTCCCTCAATACGGTGCAGTCGTCCTGTCCCCTTTGCAGAAAAGCATCCCCAAAGAATGATGTTTCCACCTCCATGCTTCACGGTTGGGATGGTGTTCTTGGGGTTGTACTCATCCTTCTTCTTCCTCCAAACACGGCGAGTGGAGTTTAGACCAAAAAGCTCTGTTTTTGTCTCATCAGACCACATGACCTTCTCCCATTCCTCCTCTGGATCATCCAGATGGTCATTGGCAAACTTCAGACAGGCCTGGACATGCGTTGGCTTGAGCAGGGGGACCTTGCATGCGCTGCATGATTTTAATCCATGACGGCGTAGTGTGTTACTAATGGTTTCCTTTGAGACTGTGGTCCCAGCTCTCTTCAGGTCATTGACCAGGTCCTGCCGTGTAGTTCTGGGCTGATCCCTCATCTTCCTCATGATCATTGATGCCCCACGAGGTGAGATCTTGCATGGAGCCCCAGACCGATGGTGGTTGACCGTCATCTTAAACTTCTTCCGTTTTCTAATAATTGCGCCAACAGTTGTTGCCTTCTCACCAAGCTGCTTGCCTATTGTCCTGTAGCCCATCCCAGCCTTGTGCAGGTCTACAATTTTATCCCTGATGTCCTTACACAGCTCTCTGGTCTTGGCCATTGTGGAGAGGTTGGAGTCTGTTTGATTGAGTGTGTGGACAGGTGTCTTTTATACAGGTAACGAGTTCAAACAGGTGCAGTTAATACAGGTAATGAGTGGAGAACAGGAGGGCTTCTTAAAGAAAAACTAACAGGTCTGTGAGAGCCGGAATTCTTACTGGTTGGTAGGTGATCAAATACTTATGTCATGCAATAAAATGCAAATTAATTACTTAAAAATCATACAATGTGATTTTCTGGATTTTTGTTTTAGATTCCGTCTCTCACAGTTGAAGTGTACCTATGATAAAAATTACAGACCTCTACATGCTTTGTAAGTAGGAAAACCTGCAAAATCGTCAGTGTTTTTATTGCACTGCTTTGCTTTATCTTGGCCAGGTCGCAGTTGTAAATGAGAACCTGTTCTCAACTGGTTTACCTGGTTAAATAAAGGTGAAATAAATAAAAAATAAAAGTATCAAATACTTGTTCTCCCCACTGTAGCTATAGTGCCATGTGTTTTATGTGCTTTTAGATGCTTCATAATATACAGTTAATGTAAATCATTACCAAAATATCTTAGAATCCAATGGATAACAAGTCATTTTATAATAATACTACATTTGACGCTTGAGTGGTTCAGTTATCTGCCAGACATTTTATTTAATGCTCAAATCCTGTAATTTTCCTTGTTTCCTTATTGCTTTATCTTTTTTTTCTAGATTCAAAACCTTGCTTCAAGTACATGAGACAGTTGAAATCGAAAGCGATTCGGATTTGTAAGGCAAGATGGAAAAAACGTATGTATTGGCTAGAAAATAGTTGTACATTGAAACCATTCACATACATACCTCTTGTTTTGGACGCAGACAGAAGTGTATTTAAAAAAAGCAAGATCTACAAAAGCAAGATCTACAAAACATCTCGCTCAAAAAAACTTCAAACTTACATTCCTTCATTCATTACAAAATTATCCCCTGATCATTTACTGACAGGAAATGAGAAAAACATTCTGCTGGTTGGAAAACCTGGAATAGGTAAGACTACAGTTGCCCTGGAGATTTTGAATCTTTGGGCACAGAAAGAGGACAATACGGTGAACTACATGTTTTACTTCAATGATTCCTTGATGAGGTCTATGTCACACTCTGATGACCCCACAACTCTGAAGTCACTTTTGTTTGGCAAATACGTCAAACCAGAGGAAGGGATTGATGAGATTTTGCAAGATATTGAACAGAATTCTGAAAATGTCATCATTGTGTTTGATGGAATCATGGAGACAATCAGCAATTCTGTAGTGAAGCGCATTTTAGAGAAAGACCTTCTGTGTGATGCTAAGATTGTGGCCACATGCAGACCAGAAGCAGAAGACAGTGGGTTTTTGTCTGACTGGCCATCTTACCGAGTGGAAGTGCAAGGATTCAATAGCGAGTCAATCAGTGCTTTCTTTAGGTGGATGTTAGATACGGATGAGGATACCGTTTGCAGAATTTTGAAGAACCCTGAACTCTTTAGTCTTTGTCATGTCCCAATGTACGCCTTCATAGTGACTGGCTGCATCTGTTTGAGTGTTTCTGAAGCTAAAGATCATCCCTGCACTGTAACAGAAATGTATGTACAGATCTTGCGAGAGATGTTGAAAAAACGCAATGACCAAACTACAGGACACCTGGATGAATACATGCATCGCCAAAAGGAGTCTATCAGGTCTCTTGCTGAAAGCGCTTACCAAGCAATGCTGGGTAAAACAGTCAGCGTGACAAGATTGGATTGCAAAGACCACAGTGTGCCAGATGCTTTCCTGACATCATCTGCAACTAAGGACACATCTTGGGTCTTTCTCCACAACACAATACAGGAGTTTTTGGCCTCTGTTTTCCTGTTGATGACACCAGACAAAATCACCCAAGTCCTTCAGCAGTACCTGTGACACTCTGGCTCCATGGACTTTGATATTTGAGCCAGGGTTGTTCATTTTCATTTGTTTGGGTGTATTTCTATGTTGGGGTGTCTAGGTTGTTGATTTCTATGTTTGGTGATTGTGCTTGTTTAGTCATATGACTCCCAATCGGAGGTAACGAGTGTCAGCTGTCGGCTCGTTATCTCTGATTGGGAGCCATATTTATACTGTGTGGTTTCTCCTTGGTTTTGTGGGTTTTTGTTCCATGTTCCTTTACAGTCAGTGTCACTGTGGACTTCACTTTCGTCTTTTGTTTTGTAGTTACGTGCTGTCTTTATAAAAGTCATCATGTTCACTCCACGCGCTGCGTATTGGTCCGCTTCTTCAGACGATCGTGACAGAAAAACCCACCAAAGAAAGACCAAGCAGCGTGTCCAGGAGCAAGGAGACTGGACATGGGAGGAGGCACCGGGCAAGGAGATAGAGAGGCTGGCGATGGCCCAGGTGGGCACATCGTGGTCCTGGGAGGACATGCTCGGAGGCAAGGGACCTTGGGGAAGGATCAAGGCCCTGGCGAGAGAGGAGCAACGGCGGCAGCAGGGCCATCGTCGGAGGGTCGTGAGTCAACCCCAGAAAATTTTTAGGGGGGGGCACACGGCATGGACGACGGGGCTGACGGAGGAGAAAAGGGGGAGTATCCAGGAGGCCACCAGGCCAGGGGTACACCGCCCTGTATGTCCTGTGCGGATGCCTCACACAGAGTGTGTGAGGGTAGGCATTCAGCCAGGACGGGTGGTGTCCGCTGTTCGCTCCAGGCCTCCTATCCGTCTCCACAGCCCGGTCCGGCCTGTTCCTGCCACCCGCACCAAGTCTACGGTGTGCGTCGCCAGCCCGGTCCGGCCTGTTCCTGCCACCCGCACCAAGTCTACGGTGTGCGTCGCCAGCCCGGTCCGGCCTGTTCCTGCCACCCGCACCAAGTCTACGGTGCGCGTCGCCAGCCCGGTCCGGCCTGTTCCTGCCACCCGCACCAAGTCTACGGTGTGCGTCGCCAGCCCGGTCCGGCCTGTTCCTGCCACCCGCACCAAGTCTACGGTGCGCGTCGCCAGCCCGGTCCGGCCTGTTCCTGCCACCCGCACCAAGTCTATGGTGCGCGTCGCCCGGCCAGAGTCTGCCGTCTGCCCAACGGCGCCTGAACTGCCCGTCTGCCCAACGGCGCCTGAACTGCCCGTCTGCCCAACGGCGCCTGAACTGCCCGTCTGCCCAACGGGGCCTGAACTGTCCGTCTGCCCAACGCCGTCTGAACTGCCCGTCTGCCCAACGCCGTCTGAACTGTCCGTCTGCCAAGCGCCGCAGGAACTGCCCGTCTGTACTGAGCCTGCAAAGCCGCCCGTCTGCCATGAGCCTTCAGAGCCGTCCGCCAGACCGGAGCCGCTAGAGCTCTCCGCCAGACAGGAGCAGCCAGAGCCTTCCGCCAGACAGGATCAGCCAGAGCCTTCCGCCAGACAGGATCAGCCAGAGCCTTCCGCCAGACAGGATCAGCCAGAGCCTTCCGCCAGACAGGATCAGCCAGAGCCTTCCGCCAGACAGGATCAGCCAGAGCCGTCCGCCAGACAGGATCAGCCAGAGCCTTCCGCCAGCCATGAGCAGCCAGATCCGTCAGCCAGCCATGAACAGCCAGATCCGTCAGCCAGCCATGAGCAGCCAGATCCGTCAGCCAGCCATGAGCAGCCAGATCCGTCAGCCAGCCATGAGCCGTCCAGCCAGGATCCGCCAGAGCCAGCCAGCCAGGATCCGCCATTTAGTCAGGTACTGTCCCTTAGTCCGGTGCTGCCCCTTAGCCCAGTGCTGCCCCTTATCCCGGTGCTGCCCCTTATCCCGGTGCTGCCCCTTATCCCGGTGCTGCCCCTTATCCCGGTGCTGCCCCTTAGTCCGGTGCTGCCCCTTCGTCCGGTGTTGCCCCTTAGTCCAGGTGGGGTTAGTTGGAGGGTGGTCATTGGGAGGAGGCTACTGAAGCAGGTTGTGACTGTGGTGGGGTGGGGATCACGACCGGGGCCAGAGCCGCCACCGTGGACAGACGCCCACTCAGACCCTCCCCTAGTCCTTATGTTGGTGCGCCCGGAGTTCGCACCTTTAGGGGGGGGGTACTGTGACACTCTGGCTCCATGGACTTTGATATTTGAGCCAGGGTTGTTCATTTTCATTTGTTTGGGTGTATTTCTATGTTGGGGTGTCTAGGTTGTTGATTTCTATGTTTGGTGATTGTGCTTGTTTAGTCATATGACTCCCAATCGGAGGTAACGAGTGTCAGCTGTCGGCTCGTTATCTCTGATTGGGAGCCATATTTATACTGTGTGGTTTCTCCTTGGTTTTGTGGGTTTTTGTTCCATGTTCCTTTACAGTCAGTGTCACTGTGGACTTCACTTTCGTCTTTTGTTTTGTAGTTACGTGCTGTCTTTATAAAAGTCATCATGTTCACTCCACGCGCTGCGTATTGGTCCGCTTCTTCAGACGATCGTGACAGTACCAGACCGAAGAAGGAAAGTACTTGAAGCACATTTTCTCGTTCTTGTGTGGACTTACTAGTCAGTCCAATAACATGGTTGAATCAATTAAATTCTTGATTTCTGAGGAAGAGGTGAAAGAACTATCTGACCAGTACATTGAAAAGATCATAGACACATTCATCTGCTGTGAGACACAGCAGGACCCTGATGAATCCAATTCAGATGTTGATGTGGAAAATCTACTCTTCATTTGTCAGTGCTTGTATGAGCACCAGTCACCTGAGGCCTGCTTACTCCTCCTAGAAAAAGTGGGCTACGAGTTTGATCTCAGTGGAGAACATCTTGATCCTCAACAGTGCTGTGCAGTGTCATATGTGATCAACCAATCCAAAGACAGGAATGTTCGACTGGACCTGGAGAACTGCTCTTTGTCTGATCCAGGACTAAGGCTGATTCTCAGGGCTTTGGAAAATCTCACAGTGCTCAGGTATGACTCTTACAGTGGGGAAAAAAAGTATTTAGTCAGCCACCAATTGTGCAAGTTCTCCCACTTAAAAAGATGAGAGAGGCCTGTAATTTTCATCATAGGTACACGTCAACTATGACAGACAAAATGAGAAGAAAAAAAATCCAGAAAATCACATTGTAGGATTTTTTATGAATTTATTTGCAAATTATGGTGGAAAATAAGTATTTGGTCAATAACAAAAGTTTCTTAATACTTTGTTATATACCCTTTGTTGGCAATGACACAGGTCAAACGTTTTCTGTAAGTCTTCACAAGGTTTTCACACACTGTTGCTGGTATTTTGGCCCATTCCTCCATGCAGATCTCCTCTAGAGCAGTGATGTTTTGGGGCTGTCGCTGGGCAACACAGACTTTCAACTCCCTCCAAAGATTTTCTATGGGGTTGAGATCTGGAGACTGGCTAGGCCACTCCAGGACCTTGAAATGCTTCTTACGAAGCCACTCCTTCGTTGCTCGGGCGGTGTGTTTGGGATCATTGTCATGCTGAAAGACCCAGCCACGTTTCATCTTCAATGCCCTTGCTGATGGAAGGAGGTTTTCACTCAAAATCTCACGATACATGGCCCCATTCATTCTTTCCTTTACACGGATCAGTCGTCCTGGTCCCTTTGCAGAAAAACAGCCCCACGTCTGGCACTGCAGGATTTGAGTCCCTGGCGGCGTAGTGTGTTACTGATGGTAGGCTTTGTTACTTTGGTCCCAGCTCTCTGCAGGTCATTCACTAGGTCCCCCCGTGTGGTTCTGGGATTTTTGCTCACCATTCTTGTGATCATTTTGACCCCACGGGGTGAGATCTTGCGTGGAGCCCCAGATCGAGGGAGATTATCAGTGGTCTTGTATGTCTTCCATTTCCTAATAATTGCTCCCACAGTTGATTTCTTCAAACCAAGCTGCTTACCTATTGCAGATTCAGTCTTCCCAGCCTGGTGCAGGTCTACAATTGTGTTTCTGGTGTCCTTTGACAGCTCTTTGGTCTTGGCCATAGTGGAGTTTGGAGTGTGACTGTTTGAGGTTGTGGGCAGGTGTCTTTTATACTGATAACAAGTTCAAACAGGTGCCATTAATACAGGTAAGAAGTGGAGGACAGAGGAGCCTCTTAAAGAAGAAGTTACAGGTCTGTGAGAGCCAGAAATCTTGCTTGTTTGTAGGTGACCAAATACTTATTTTCCACTATAATTAGCAAATAAATTCATTAAAAATCCTACAATGTGATTTTCTGGATATTTTTTTCTCAATTTGTTTGTCATAGTTGACGTGTACCTATGATGAAAATTACAGGCCTCTCTCATCTTTTTAAGTGGGAGAACTTGCACAATTCGTGGCTGACTAAATACTTTTTTCCCCCACTGTGTTACTATTACAGAGCTTGATAGTAGCCTTATTTATATGACTTCATCAATGTGTCACAATGACACCCCGTAAATATACAGTCAGGTCCATCATTATTGGTGCCCTTGATAAAGTACTGAGCTATATTGTATGCAAAAAAAAAAAGGATATAATATTATTTTATACATACAAACTATATATACAAAAGTATGTGGACACCCCTTCATATTTGTGGATTCGGCTATTTCAGCCACACCCGTTGCTGACAGGTGTATAATTCTGAGCACACAGCCATACAATCTCCATAGACAAACATTGGCAGTAGAATGGCCTTACTGAAGAGCTCAGTGACATTCAACGTACCTGCCTGAATGCATTGTGCCAACTGTAAGGTTTGGTGGAGGAGGAATAATGGCCTGGGGCTGTTTTTCATGGTTCAGCCTAGACCCCTTTTAGTTCCAGTGAAGAGAAATCTTAACGCTACAGCATAAAATGACATTCTCGACGATTCTGTGCTTCCAACTTTGTGGCAACAGTTTGGGGAAGGCCCTTTCCTGTTTCAGCATGACAATACCCTGTACATAAAGCAAGGTCCATACAGAAAAGGTTTGTTGAGACTGGTGTGGAAGAAGTTGACTGGCCTGCACAGAGCCCTAACCTCAACCTCATCGAACACCTTTGAGATTAATTGGAATGCCGACTGCGAGCCAGGCCTAATCACCCAACATCAGTGCCCGACCTCACTAATGCTCTTGTGGCTGAATGGAAGGAAGTCCCCACAGCAATGTTCCAACATTTAGTGAAAAACCTTCCCAGAAGAGTGGAGGCTGTTATAGCAGCAAAGTGGGGACCAACTCCATATTAATGCCCATGATTTTGGAATGAGATGTTCAATGAAAGAGATTTTGTAACAAGTAATACAAAAAATCTAAAAAAGATAGGTCAAAATTATAGGTAGCACCCTCCCATTGTGAGGATAACATCACTGAGCCTTTTTCTAAAATGTTTTAACAGGTTGGAGATCATAGCCCATTCCTCCATACAGAATATTTCCAGTTCCTTGATATCCTTAGTCTATACTTATAGACTGCCCTCTTCAACAACCACAGCCCACTGGGCACAGACGTCAACGTTGATTCAACCTGTGTGTGCCCAGTGGGAGGTTTTCAATGGTATTGGTATTCAAGTCCGGAGACTGAGATGTTGATTTTGTGGTCAATTAACAATTTCTTTGTGGATTTTGATTAGTGCTTGCTGGAATATCCACTTGCGGCCAAGTGTCAGCCTCCTGACAGAGGCAACCATGTTTTTGGTTAAAATGTCCTGGTATTTGGTAAAGTTCTTGATGCCCTTGACCTTAACAAGGGCCACAAGACCAATGGAAGCAAAATAGCTCCATAAAATCAAAGATGCACCATCATATTTTACCCAAACTGATCTCATAGTTTCACTTCGGGATTTGATGGAATTGGATGAACGTCGATTTTTGACACATTAATTCCGCGTGGTTACTGGGTTCATTTCGCGTGGTTATAGGGTTAAAACCGAAACAACTCAAAGGGTTAAGTTTAGGTATTAATTCAGAGTGGTTAAGGTTAGGGCTATGGTTTGGAGAAGGCATAAAAGTAAATAATAATACAAATACACTGTTTCCATTAGGGCTGTCCCCGACCCCAAAAAATATTGGTCGACCGCAATTGATTTGATTGTGCCGCCTGGCTCAGACTTGCTGCGCTGTGTTTTTTAAAAAAAAACAGCAAGTGACTGTGTGACTAGCACCGGTTGTCTTTCTCTCCTCCTTGCTACAGTGTGTACAGCGCTGTCCGTGTTGCTGAAGCTGCAACATAGTTACAGTAATTTCTAACTGAAAAGCTATGTTACCGAAATATGTTTAGGAAAAACATTCCCTCAACCCTTGCTCTCTTTATGTGACACATGTATGCTTTGCATGCACGTGACCAATAGGACCTATAGCATATCATAATCACATCAAGAAATTGGTTATAACAAACTCTGAACACTGTAACACATGTGACAGCCAAATGGATGCGGAGGACGTGACAAATAAACTCGAAACAGGGGAATGTTTACTGGTTGCGCAGGAGGTAAATGGGAAGTCAGATGTGTGGAATACATTTGACTAGTTGTGGAAAATACTGGAGATCAAGAAAAAGAAGGTATGGAGCAAGTGCTGCGTGCAACAGTCGCATTCATTCGTGAATGCAATGTCCGCAATGAAACAGTTTAAGCCTATTTATTGTTTATGCTAATTATTCAATGGTCGCTTTGTTATTTTATTTTAAAACTAAAATGCTTGATTGCATTTCACATCATGAATGAATCATATTCTGTGTGATGACATTAATTAATAAATGATTGATTTATACAGTAGCCTACATAAATATTGAAATATAGGCCTAAGTAAGTATTAAGACTAAACAGAATGCGCTCTTAGGCCTACAGCTCGATGGTGGTTATAGAAGGCTGCTATACTAAGCCTACTAATTATATTGACATTACTTAATATTATAATGATGATCATAATAATAATAATAATAATACTAAACACAATAAGAAGGAGCTCAAGGGAAAAGCAGGGTTATTATTATTATTATAAATATACTTTTTCGGACAATTTGGAACAGTGTAAACAACACTAAATAAATTATAAATCATACAAGAGAGGCTGGTCTAACGACAAAAAGTGTAAAGCCTTTATTACAGCATAGCGAAGATTAAAAACATGATTTTGTTATATAACTAGGCAAGTTCAGAATCGTGGACAGCAACCGCTATCCAACGTGAGAGAAAACGGATCTGTTATAAAATTATTATATAAATTAGTGTTGCACCATTGTTCCTATGTAATATAACTAGAGAGAGAGAGAGAGAGAGAGAGAGAGAGAGAGAGAGAGAGAGAGAGAGAGAGAGAGAGAGAGAGAGAGAGAGAGAGAGAGAGAGAGAGAGAGAGAGCCCTATAGCTGTACAGCAAATCAGGAATCTTTTGCAAGGGAGAACTGCGGCTACTGTCTCTGGCTGTGTGGAGAGTAGTCCACGTAGACTCTGTGCCACAAAATGAGTGACAAAACCTGGCAAGATAATTTCAAGTCATTTGATTTTCTGTCGAGTCTCAACTCATCAAATTTGTGACTCTCAGACTCTAGTCCAAGTCATGTGACTGGATTCCACAACTCTGCGGTTTCCACAGTGGACTTATCAGTTTTACACATGCAGGGTAATAGACTCTGTAGACATTCAGGCTGGCCGGAGGCCCTAATATTTACAGAAGGCTGGAGTGGAGTGTTTAGCAACATGGTTTGTTTTATGGGGACATAAAGAGGAACATACGCTAAAGGCTAATCCATCCCCAGATCAAAACACAGCGGGTGTGTCAGGGTCACTGTGGTTCATGTGTGTGTGTGTGTGTGTACTTGTGTGTTTGTGTGCATTTGTGAGCACACTTTCATATGTGTGTGTGTGGGTAACCATATATATGTGTGTGTGTGTGTTCGTGTAAGCACACTACCATGTATGTATGTGTGTGTGTGTGTGTGTGTGTGGGTGTGTTTACTAACTAGATAGCAGAGTCTATCCCCCTCTCTCCAGTCTGGCTGTCTATGTGAGCATGTTTATCTAGGGCTGGAGTTTTAACTTAATCACTGCAGCCTTACGACTCGATCACACCGACAGCGGCATTGCGTTTTGGTACACCAGAAGTACATTCATTTCCAATGGAATGCTGCGTTTGCCTTGCAGCATTGCATTTCAGAGGCAGTTGCAGTGCGTTCTGTGTTCTGTGTGGTGCATACGTTGGATTTATCCAACGTGTGCATCAAATTGTATGCATAGATTTGACAGAAATAGTAATAAAAGGTGAATGTTGAACTGTTGTTGCTCACATATCCAATAACAATGTTGCATTGCATAACTGCAAAAATCTCTGAAGCTGGAGACACTTATCTCCCTCACTAACTTTAAGCGTCAGTTGTCAGAGCAGCTTACCGATCACTGCACCTGTACACAGCCCATCTGTAATTAGCCCACCCAACTACCTCATCCCCATATTGTTATTTACAATGTTATTTATTTTGCTAATTTGCACCCCAGTATCTCTATTTGCACATCATCTTCTGCACATCTATCACTCCAGTGTTAATACTAAATTGTAATTATTTTGCACTATGGCCTATTTATTGCCTTACCTCCATAACTTGCTACATTTGCACACACTGTATATATATTTTCTGTTGTGTTATTAACTTTATGTTTTGTTTTGTTACCCCACCAAGTACTAAGTCATGTTTTGCAGAGGGGTCAAATACTTATTTCCCTCATTAAAATGCAAATCAATTGATAACATTTTTGTCATGCGTTTTTCTGGATTTTTTTGTTTTTATTCTGTCTCTCACTGTTCAAATAAACCTACCATTAAAATTATAGACTGATCATTTCTTTGTCAGTGGGCAAACGTACAAAATCAGCAGGGGATCAAATACTTTTTTCCCTCACTGTACATGGTTAAGATTCCTCTAAATAATTTGAATGACTTACAGATGCTATTTTACTACCACTGCTGCTATCACTATTTCCAATTATGACAAATGTCAAACATTCTGCTTTTGTTAGCTCTAATGTAGGCCTACATTGATGATAAAATAAGTGTCTCATCTTAACAATCTTTTAGGTTAATTTCACTCAATGATCAGAAAACACATTCATGGAATGAGGAAGTGAAGTCATTCCAGATGGATCTTTACATCCAAGGAGCTCTCTATGAGATGAAGACGGGACAGAAATGTGTACAGGGTCTGCTCCCTGTGCTTGCTCATTTGATTCACTCTGACTCTATAGAGGAACAGAGCAAATTCATGGTTAGTCTGTACTCAAAGGCCCATGACACCCAGGAAGGAGTTCTACCAGTGTTGCAGCCTGTTTTCCAGACAACTCCTGCAGTATGGTACATAGACCTCTCTGAGAAAGGAACCTCTGGCATCCTTAAAGTGCTGAAATTCCAGAATGTGAAGAAACCAGTTGAGTTGTGGTGGTCGGATAAAGAGAGTGAGAGGGAATTGGCTGTTTTCCTTCAGTGTCTACCCCTAGGTGAGTCTATAGTTGTGTAATGATCTTGAGATGTTCTAGCAGTGTCCTAATCTTGGCCTAGGAAGGCCACCAAAAATTCAGACATTTCCATTCCGAACTACAACATTTTCCGTCTAGATAGAACTGCCAAAGGGGGTGGAGTTGCAATCTACTGTAGAGATAGCCTGCAGAGCTCTATCATACTATCCAGGTCTGTGCCCAAACAGTTTGAGCTTCTACTTCTAAAAATCCACCTTTCCAAAAATAAGTCTCTCACTGTTGCCGCTTGCTACAGACCCCCCTCAGCCCCCAGTTGTGCCCTGGACACCATATGTGAATTGCTTGCCCCCCATCTATCCTCAGAGTTCGTACTGCTTGGTGACCTAAACTGGGATATGCTTAACACCCCGGCCATCCTGCAATCTAAACTAGATGCCCTCAATCTCACACAAATTATCAAGGAACCTACCAGGTACAACCCTAAATCCTTAAACATGGGCACCCTCATAGATATCATCCTGACTAATTTACCCTCTAAATACACCTATGCTGTCTTCAACCAGGATCTCAGCGATCACTGCCTCATTGCCTGCGTCCGTAATGGGTCCACGGTCAAACGACCACCTCTCATCACTGTCAAACGCTCCCTAAAACACTTCAGCAAGCAGGCCTTTCTAATTGACCTGGCCCTGGTATCCTGGATGGATATTGACCTCATTCCGTCAGTAGAGGATGCCTGGATGTTCTTCAAAAGTGCTTTCTTCTCCATCCATTAAATAAGCATGCCCCATTCAAAACATTCAGAACTAAGAACAGATATAGCCCCTGGTTCACTTCAGACTTGACTGCCCTTGACCAGCACAAAAACATCCTGTGGCGTATTGCATTAGCATCGAACAGCCCCCGCGATATGCAACTTTTCAGGGAAGTCAGGAACCAATATACACAATCAGTTAGGAAAGCAAAGGCTAGCTTTTTCAAACAGAAATGTGCATCCTGTAGCACTAACTCCAAAAAGTTTTGGGACACTGTAAAGTCCATGGAGAATAAGAGCACCTCCTCCCAGCTACCCACTGCACTGAGGCTAGGTAACACTGTCACCACCGATAAATCTACTATAATCGAGAATTTCAATAAGCATTTTGCTACGACTGGCCATGCTTTCCACCTGGCTACCCCTACCCCGGCCACCAGCTCTGCACCCTCCGCTGCAACTTGCCCATTGCCCCCCCCCGCTTCTCCTTCACCCAAATTCAGATAGCTGATGTCCTGAATGAGCTGCTAAATCTGGACCCCTGTCAATCACCGCATTCTTATTGGCAGACTAAATAGCCTTGGTTTCTCAAATGACTGCCTCGCCTGGTTCACCAACTACTTCTCAGATAGAGTTCAGTGTGTCAAATCGGAGGGCCTGTTGTCTGGACCTCTGGCAGTCTCTATGGGGGTGCCACAGGGTTCAATTCTCGGGCCGACTCTATTCTCTGTGTATATCAATGATGTCGCTCTTGCTGCTGGTGACTCTCAGATCCACCTCTACGCAGACGACACCATTTTGTATACATCTGGCCCTTCATTGGACACTGTGTTAACAAACCTCCAAACGAGCTTCAATGCCATACAACACTCCTTCCGTGGCCTCCAACTGCTCTTAAACGCTAGTAAAACTAAATGCATGCTCTTCAATCGAACGCTGCTTGCACCCGCCCGCCCGACTAGAATCACTACTCTCGGCGGGTCTGACTTAGAATATGTGGACAACTACAAATACCTAGGTGTCTGGTTAGACCGTAAACTCTCCTTCCAGACTCACATTAAGCATCTCCAATCCAAAGTTAAATCTAGAATCGGCATTCTATTTCACAACAAAGCCTCCTTCACTCATGCTGCTAAACATGCCCTCGTAAAACTGACTATCCTACCGATCCTTGACTTCGGCGATGTCATTTACAAAATAGCTTCCAACACTTTACTCAGCAAATTGGATGTAGTCAATTCAATTTCAATTTAAGGGCTTTATTGGCATGGGAAACGTGTGTTAACATTGCCAAAGCAAGTGAAGTAGATAGTAAACAAAAGTGAAATAAACAATAAGTATTAACAGTAAACATTACACTCAGAAGTTTCAAAAGAATAAAGACATTTCAAATGTCATATTATGTATATATACAGTGTTGTAACAATGTGCAAATAGTTAAAGTACAAATGGGAAAATAAAATCAACATAAATATGGGTTGTATTTACAATGGTGTTTTTTCTTCACTGGTTGCCCTTTTCTTGTGGCAACAGGTCACAAATCTTGCAGCTGTGATGGCACACTGTGGTTTTTCACCCAGTAGATAAGGGAGTTTATCAAAATTGGGTTTGTTTTCGAATTCTTTGTGGATCGCTGTAATCTGAGGGAAATATGTGTCTCTAATATGGTCATACATTTGGCAGGAGGTTAGGAAGTGCAGCTCATTTTCCACCTCATTTTGTGGGCAGTGTGCACATAGCCTGTCTTCTCTTGAGAGCCAGGTCTGCCTACGGCGGCCTTTCTCAATAGCAAGGCTATGCTCACTGAGTCTGTACATAGTCAAAGCTTTCCTTAAGTTTGGGTCAGTCACAGTGGTCAGGTATTCTGCCACTGTGTACTCTCTGTTTAGGGCCAAATAGCATTCTAGTTTGCTCTGTTTATTTGTTTGTTCTTTCCAATGTGTCAAGTAATTCTCTTTTTGTTTTCTCATGATTTGGTTGGGTCTAATTGTGTTGTTGTTGCTGTTGTCCTGGGGCTGTGTGGGGTCTGTTTGTGTTTGTGAACAGAGCCCCAGGACAAGCTTACTTAGGGGACTCTTCTCCAAGTTCATCTCTCTGTAGGTGATGGCTTTGTTATGGAAGGTTTGGGAATCGCTTCCTTTTAAGTGGTTATAGAATTTAACGGCTCTTTTCTGGATTTTTATAATTAGCGGGTATTGGCCTAATTCTGCTCTGCATGCATTATTTGGTGTTTTACGTTGTACACGGAGGATGTTTTTGCAGAATTCTGCATGCAGAGTCTCAATTTGGTGTTTGTCCCATTTTGTGAATTCTTGGTTGGTGAGCGGACCCCAGACCTCAGAACCATAAAGGGCAATGGGTTCTATAACTGATTCAAGTATTTTTAGCCAGATCCTAATTGGTATGTCAAATTTTATGTTCCTTTTGATGGCATAGAAGGCCCTTCTTGCCTTGTCTCTCAGATCGTTCACAGCTTTGTGGAAGTTACCTGTGGCGCTGATGTTTAGGCCGAGGTATGTATAGTTTTTTGTGTGCTCTAGGGCAACGGTGTCTAGATGGAATTTGTATTTGTGGTCCTGGCAACTGGACCTTTTTTGGAACACCATTATTTTTGTCTTACTGAGATTTACTGTCAGGGCCCAGGTCTGACAGAATCTGTGCAGAAGATCTAGGTGCTGCTGTAGGCCCTCCTTGGTTGGAGGGCCTACCAAAGCCCCATATACTACCCACCATTGTGACCTGTACGCTCTCGTTGGCTGGCCCTCACTACATATTAGTCGCCAAACCCACTGGCTCCAGGTCATCTATAAATCACTTCTAGGCAAATCCCCGCCTTATCTTAGATCATTGGTCACCATAGCAACACCCACCCGTAGTATGCGTTCCAGCAGGTATATCTCACTGGTCATCCCCAAAGCCAACACCTCCTTTGGTCGCCATTCCTTCCAGTTCTCTGCTGTAAATGACTGGAACGAACTGCAAAAATCTCTGAAGCTGGAGACACTTATCTCCCTCACTATCTTTAAGCGTCAGTTGTCAGAGCAGCTTACCGATTACTGCACCTGTACACAGCCCATCTGTAATTAGCCCACCCAACTACCTCATCCCCATATTGTTATTTACATTGTTATTTCTTTTTCTCATTGGTACCCCAGTATCTCTATTTGCACATCATCTTCTGCACATCTATCACTCCAGTGTTAATACTAAATTGTAATTATTTTGCACTATGGCCTATTTATTTCCTTACCTCCATAACTTACTACATTTGCACACACTGTATATAGATTTCCTATTGTGTTATTGACTGTACGTTTTGTTTATTCCATATGTAACTCTGTGTTGTTTTTATCGCACTGCTTTGCTTTATCTTGGCCAGGTCGCAGTTGTAAATGAGAACTTGTTCTCAACTAGTTTACCTGGTTAAATAAAGGTTAAATAAAAAATAAATAAATAAAATCACTGGATCTATCAAGGCGTCAGTGTAATGCGGTAGGCGAAGTCAGGCACAGGACACAGAGCTAATCAAAAGGCGTACTTTACTCGTAGGTAAAAGAATGAACAACAACCTCCACGCAGGGAGGGAACAAACCTGCACACTAATGACAACCAAAACATGAACAAACACGCACAACACACAGTGTGAGACAGAGGGTTAAATAGGGAAGACATCACTACATGATGGGAAACAGGTGTGACCAATTAAGACAAAACAAGTCGAACATAGATACATGGATCGGTAGCAGCTAGTACTCCGGTGACGACGAACGCCGAAGCCTGCTCGAGCAAGGAGGAGGGGCCGCCTCGGCTGAATCCGTGACAGGATCTGAATGTTCTTTGAGAATAGACACACACAAAAAAGCTACAGAAGACTTGTCATAATCCATTGTTTTTGTATCTATCTTTGTCTCTTTAATCCATTGGCATAGTTCGAAGAGAAAAGTTGCTTACTATCTCAGTGCAGAATGAGACATGTTATCTGGTGTAAGAGGTGTTCCCCATCAGAGACCCTGACAGTCTATAATCTAATGATCTTCTATTCAACATGAAGAGAGGGTTCCGAGAGGTTGTACAGTGAGTATTAGGGTCAATTTCTTTATTTGATTTTTAACAATGTATTTTCATTCTAAATTATATAGATTCAAGGACTGCATTCCAAACACCAATGATGCTATAAAGGTGCTTGTGGATCTCTTCATCAATGCATCAAAGTTGGAAGGAGAGACACTAAAGATGCTTTCATCAGTATGTGGATACTCAGCATTCCCCTTTGTGACAACGCTGGACAGTGTGCTTTTCTGTTAGATCTTTACTCACATGTGAGCGACTATGAGACTAAAACAAGCAGAAGTATCCTTCCAGCGTTACTGTCACTTTACCAGTCAACTCCTGAAGTCTGGTCCATAGACCTCTCTGAGAGAAAGGCCTCCCTCCTCCTAGAAGTGCTGAAACTCCAACCAAAGAAACCAGTAGAACTGAGGGGCTGGTCAGATGATGAGAGTGATGTGAGGAGTTTCCTTCAGTGTCTGCCCTACATCTCATACCTCAGGTTGGTTTGTTCAAAAGTTCTCTGTTGTAATCATATCGCTGACAGAGAGTAATTTAGATGCCATGTGGAATTATGAACTTGGGCCCAGTTTCCCAAAAGCATCTTAAGGCTAAGGTTCTAAGGATAAACTTAGTCTTAATATGCTTTTGGGAAACCGTGCCTTGGTCTTTGCATTTATCATACTTGTGTGTATGATGTAGAGGTCTATGTGTACCTTTTATGTCAGGCTAATAATGTTTTTATACTGACAGGTTTTTCTACAGACAGGATGAAAGGGAGCTGCCTGAAGAGTGGAGGATCACATTTCCTCCATGGATTTGTAATTTCCTTTTGAAAGTGTTTGTTCAAGGAGCTGTTAATGACATATTGACAGGACAGAGGTCTGTTGAGGCACTCGTGTCTGTTCTGGGGTTTGCTCATTCAAAAGACTCTCCAGAGAAGTGTATGCTTCTGTTAGATCTGTACTCAAATGCGAAGGACTATGAGATTTCAACAGGCTACAGTATCCTTCCAGCATTACAGCCAGTTTACCAGTCAGCTCCTGCAGTCTGGTCAATAGACCTCTCAGAGAGAAAGGCCTCCCTCCTCCAAGAAGTGCTGAAACTCCAACCAGAGAAGAAACCAGTAGAGTTGAGGGGCTGGTCAGATGATGAGAGTGACGTGAGGAGTTTCCTTCAGTGTCTACCCTACATATCATACCTCAGGTGGGTTTGTTACCAACCTGGCTTGTGTTTTTCTCTCTCTATTGAATTAACAGTTAACTATATCATGGAACATTCAGTGTTTTGCGATATATTGACCAATCATTTATTTACAATTTGATATATTTGTATACATTAAAATGTTTTCATGTGTCTTTGCCTTGTTTAGATTTTTCGCTCCCAGTTGTGACTGCCAGTTCTTCCTGTCCCTGTGTGATGCACTCTCTGTGGTTTCTGAGGGAGATGCACAGATATCTCACTCTCTCCTCCAGGCCCTACACTACACTCTCACATTGTCAGGGTGGTTGCCCAGTGTAAGCTGCAAGGCAGTAGGAGCAGTCCTAGGCCAGTCCACTGCTGACGAGAAACTCGACGTCACTCTCACCCCACAGAGTATCTCTCTCCAAGGAGCTAAACTTCTCTTCAAACAAGTGAAAGAGCTTCACAAGCTTAGGTATTTCAATATTTTTAACACCCTAGAGTCTACTGATGCACTGGTGCGTCAAAATAAGTAACAAAAATCCCCATCAAAATCCGTCAGTTTAAACTAGCGATATCTGGGCTGCGTCTCAATCCACCACATCTGCCTATAGTGGTTTCCACATCTGCGGTGGAAGGTGGCCGATCTACAGCGGTGTTTGTCAGACCATGAAACATCCCGAAAATCTGTTTTGTCACGAAAACGTACAGTGAGGGAAAAAAGTATTTGATCCCCTGCTGATTTTGTACGTTTGACAACTGACAAAGAAATTATCAGTATCATTTTAATGGTAGTTTTATTTGAACAGTGAGATACAACAACAAAATGCCAAAAAAAAACGCATGCCAAAAATGTTATAAATTGATTTGCATTTTAATGAGGGAAATAACTATTTGACCCCCTCTCAATCAGAAAGATTTCTGGCTCCCAGGTGTCTTTTATACAGGTAATGAGCTGAGATTAGGAGCACACTCTTAAAGGGAGTGCTCCTAATCTCAGTTTGTTACCTGTATAAAAGACACCTGTCCACAGAAGCAATCAATCAATCAGATTCCAAACTCTCCACCATGGCCAAGACCAAAGAGCTCTCCAAGGATGTCAGGGACAAGATTGTAGACCTACACAAGGCTGGAATGGGCTACAAGACCATCGCCAAGCAGCTTGGTGAGAAGGTGACAACAGTTGCTGCGATTATTCGCAAATGGAAGAAACACAAAAGACCTGTCAATCTCCCTCGGCCTGGGGCTCCATGCAAGATCTCACCTCGTGGAGTTGCAATGATCATGAGAATGGTGAGGATTCAGCCCAGAACTACACGGGAGGATCTTGTCAATGATCTCAAGGCAGCTGGGACCATAGTCACCAAGAAAACAATTGGTAACACACTACGCCGTGAAGGACTGAAATCCTGCAGCGCCCCCAAGGTCCCCCTGCTCAAGAAAGCACATATACAGGGCCGTCTGAAGTTTGCCAATGAACATCTGAATGATTCAGAGGAGAACTGGGTGAAAGTGTTGTCGTCAGATAAGACCAAAATGGAGCTCTTTGGCATCAACTCAACTCGCCGTGTTTGGAGGAGGAGGAATGCTGCCTGGAAACATTATGCTTTGGGGGTGTTTTTCTGCTAAGGGGACAGGACAACTTCACCGCATCAAAGGGACGATGGACGGGGCCATGTACCGTCAAATCTTTTGTGAGAACCTCCTTCCCTCAGCCAGGGCATTGAAAATGGGTCGTGGATGGTTATTCTAGCATGACAATGACCCAAAACACACGGCCAAGGCAACAAAGTAGTGGTCAAGAAGAAGCACATTAAGGTCCTGGAGTGGCCTAGCCAGTCTCCAGACCTTAATCCCATAGAAAATCTGTGGAGGGAGCTGAAGGTTCGAGTTGCCAAACGTCAGCCTCGAAACCTTAATGACTTGGAGAAAATCTGAAAAGAGGAGTGGGACAAAATCCCTCCTGAGTTGTATGCAAACCTGGTGGCCAACTACAAGAAACGTCTGACCTCTGTGATTGCCAACAAGGGTTTTGCCACCAAGTACTAAGTCATGTTTTGCAGAGGGGTCAAATACTTATTTCCCTCATTAAAATGCAAATCAATTTATAACATTTTGACATGCGTTTTTCTGGATTTGTTTGTTTTTATTCTGTCTCTCACTGTTCAAATAAACCTACCATTAAAATTATAGACTGATCATGTCTTTGTCAGTGGGCAAACGTACAAAATCAGCAGGGGTTCAAATATTTTTTTCCCTCACTGTATGTAGCGTCCGAATGGTTTGGCCTACAAGCTATTATGACCACTCTATGGAAAGGGGGAACTCTCACGAACACGATGGCTCATCTGTAGGTAACCGGTACCGGTTTAGAAAATGAAAGGAAGTATGGAGGTACAGTAGTTTTGTGCCTACCTCCAAAAAAGTGTTAAATATGTGTAAAAATATATATAAATTTCCTGAGCTTTCTTATGTCTCCAAGATATAGGACAGACACTTCAAAATCTTATTCCTTATGATACATTTTTTGACTTTATTTTTTTGCCATTTATTAATGTGGGATTTGGTACTAAAGTAATTAATTCAATATTCAATATATTTTGATTTGTTGAACACTTTTTTGGTTACTACATGATTCCATATGTGTTTTTTCGTAGTTTTGATTTCTTCACTATTATTCTACAATGTAGAAAATAGTAAAAAATAAAGAAAACCCCTTGAATGAGTAGGTGTCCAAACTTTTGACTGGTAGTGTATATTTTTTATATACAGTACCAGTCAAAGGTTTGGACACATCTACTCATTCCAGGGTTTTTCTTTATTTTTACTATTTTCTACATTGTAGAATAATAGTGAAGACATCAAAACTATGAAATAACACATATGGAATCATGTAGTAACCAAACAATTGTTAAACAAATCAAAATAGATGTTATATTTGAGATTGTTCTTGGTAAAATAGCCCTTACACAGCCTGGAGGTGTGTTGGGTCATTGTCCTGTTGAAAAACAAATGATAGTCCCACTAAGCCCAAACCAGATGGGATGGCGTATCGCTGCAGAATGCTGTGGTAGCCATGCTGGTTATGTGTGTCTTGAATTCTAAATAAATCACAGACAGTATCACCAGTAAAGCACCCCCACACCATAACACCTCCTCCTCCAAAAATCTCAAATTTGGACTCCAGACCAAAGGACATTTAAACTATTTAAACTGAATCATGTTGCATCAATTAAAACATCAATTTTTGTTTCATTTTGATCTAAACTAAGTACATTTTCAAAGTTTAATCAAACACGAAATTTGGATGGTTGATGTGACGTCGTTGCCCGTGAGTAGTTTGTTCAAATGACAAATGTACCTAATTTAATGGACATCCAGCAAATATTATATCAATCCAAGTTTAATTACTCACAGCTTTGCATTAGTAACGTTGTGTTGAAACCTATTCTTGAAGGTTAATAATGTATGGTTTAACATACTTTTTGTAAATGTTTTCAGAATGAATGAAATGGTAACAGTGAAGCTGGCTAGGATGTCACTTTTGTGCAAAAGGCCAATGATCGTTGAGGAGCTGACCCTGGTCTTATCTAGGCCAAATCCAACAGAACATGTGCAGTATAGAGTGATCAGTAGTTTAGCTTCACTGCTGACAGTGTGGACCATAAGGAGCTTGGATCTGACAGACTGTCCCATCGAGGGTTACCTTCTTACTACCCTGTTGTGTCATCAGGGTACGCTCACTATCAGGCAAGTTTGTTTACCTAGTATGTGGACTCTCAAACAAAATGTCTCTAAATGTGGGGTTTGCATGTTAGGGATTACCGTTTGAATTGTCGAGAATCCGCATTGGTTTGTGTGTGTTTCTATCTGCCTGTATTCCTCCATGACAGACTAAGTGAGGAGATTCTGCAACAGCTGGCTGTTGTGGTGTATGAGGCTCAGGACGTGGAACTGACCCAGTGCTTCCTGAAGAAGGTTGATGGAGACCTGTCTAACTGTAGACTGGACTGGGATGTGCTTCACTACCTGCTGAAGAGCACCACACAACCCATCACCATCAACCTCATGAGGAGCAGAATCAGACAGCAAGACATACCTCATCTTCTCCCGTTCCTGAATAATATTCACTTTCAAAGGTCTGGTTAAAACAATATGATGATTGCTATCATCAGGGCCAATATCTTTGTCTTTCACAGTGAACATTCAATAACTAACATGTAGCACCTAATACAACAATGTCTGCCTTCTTTTCTGCAGAATGAATTCCCACTTTGAGAGGACAGCGTTGAAAGAAATACACAAGCAACGTGCTGGTCACATGGTGACTACTTTAGTGAGGTCATCAGATGAATGGATCAACTTGAACAACCTGGTCTTGAACCATGATGACTGTGAAGCACTGCGCTTTGCCTTACACTACAGTGATGGGGTCAAACTCAACCTGTTGTGGACCATCATTCCAAAGGAGGAGATGGGGAGGATCCTGATTCTTCTACACAGGGTCTCTGAACTCAGGTCTTTGTCCACATCACTGTCTATTAGTGTCTCAATGTGTTTTTTCTTGTACCTGATTTAAGTATTTGGTTTCTAGTTGATTGGAATGAGTGAATTACAGTTAATTGCACATTATTTTATGTCCACCCATGGTCCTGACTGTCCTGACGACCTTGCAGGGTAGACAGGAAACTACTCCTGGAGCTCCTCCATGCCTGGACAGGGTTGATAACACAAACAGAGGCACCCACTGCACTCTTGAGGGCTCTGCATCACAAACTGGACCTCTCTCGCTCTTCTGCCATGGATCTGTCAGGGCAGGAGGAAGAGACTGTTTTGAGCCTCAGTTCTCAGGACTGTAGGGTCATCTCTGCAGCCATCCATAAAGCTGATGGTGACACAGAGCTGATTCTACACGACTGTCAGGTTGAGGATGCAGGACTAGAGGAGTTTTACAAAGAGTCCATTTTACAAAGAGTCCATTTGAGGTGAGATGCCTTAAGCAGGTTTTTGCCTATTCAATTGATAGTTTATTGATGGCATATATAGACTATCTATATGGGACTATCCAAATAATGTAGGGCCCAGACGTTATACTCTCATGAGTGCTTTACTTTTGAATTTCCAGTAGTGACACTGTTTAACTTTGTTCCCTCATAGCCTTGGAAAACCTATTTTGCTACAGCTCCTTCACTTGATATTTGTGGAAGATGGAGGCAGGTCAGTGAGAATTGCTTCACTACTATCCAGAGCCCTGGGGAAGGAACTGGACCTCAGTCAGACCCTGTTGGACCTGATGGCCTGTTCATCACTGGCATTGATTCTGGAGCACTCAGAAGGGTTTTCGAAGCTGGACCTCAGCGACTGCCACCTCACCGACACACATTTGGAGTTTCTGCTCACACATCTGCACAAGGCACAAGTCCTAAAGTAAGGATATTTTCAGATACAGTACATTGAATTAAGCATATTCTTTATTTTTCAAAGTACTAACCCTTAGAGTGATGACATACAGGAATGACATATTCGGTGGTGACATATTACGGTTACATTGGTCACTTGTGGACCAGCACTCTTAAACCATGATCTCTTTTTCAGTCTATGCAATAATGAAATCACTGACGAAGGAGCTATGAAACTATACAGGATTAGAAACAGCATTACAGAAACTGTATGGTGAGTAAAGGAGTGTTGATAATGTCTATGGTTCCTTTACCTAGTTATAACGTGTCTCAATTAAGAATCATTTCTCTCCACAGGCTTTGCAACAACAAGATCACTGAGTTTGACAGCTTCTTAGCGGATAAACGTTACAAACTGTTGCCTGCTCACGTGTCAGGAATGCAGGACCGACACATTACAAACTTGGGCTCTACCTCTGTGAGAGAAGAGACCTCTAAAGTGTTTTCAAAGGTAGATTGATTTAAAGAGCAACAACAGGAACTGCCATTTAAAGTCAGGTTTGCAATCGATTTGCAAAATACTTACTTTTTCTTAGACATAGGCTACATATTGTGGCATTTGAAAATGCTAATTTTACTGTCTGTCACCTCTCATGTACAGACCAAACCCATTATTACAGAATATGACCCTGAGATAGTTGAAGAAGTTGAAGAAAGCAAGATTTCCTACAGGTAACTCCCATAGATTGAATCAATTATAACTACTGTTACACCTAAACAAGTAAGCTTCTTCCTCTCCTATTTTCATAATGGAGTTTTCACTCTTAAGCCAACAATCATAATATGCACTGATATGATAATGTAACATGTAATATGTCCTAATAACAGAACTGTAGCTTTCTTAGAATAACCATTTTCCCTGTGCCCTGAGACCACCTTTATAACATAAGGCTAATGTGCTTCTATTTTATGATGCTACCCAGGTTCCAGTGTGAGTTTCGTGGCAAGTTCCAGTGCAAAGCTACAGGGCTGGTATTTGGGATGAGGGAGCCAGGTACCGTGGAGTATAGTGTGGACCACTGGGACATGCACATGCTTGCTGACACCGACTATGAGCCTGCATGTCCTGTGTTTAAGATCAGCTGTCCGGAGGGACATATGTACCAACTGCACCTACTTCACTGCGAGACTGAGGGTGAGTTTAAGCACTTTTTGAAATAACCTTTTTTTCCAACAATAAATGTATTCAAAATGTTAATTCAACAAAACATGAGAAAGGTAAAAATGGTAAGAAAGCATCTGGAAATATTCATGACGGTACACCTAATTGTTTGTTTGTGTGACTGTCTCATTATTTTCCAGTCTACGCAGCTGAGGCTTTGTCTGTGGCTCACATATGCAGCAATCGTCTGGAGATTCTGGTACCTAAGAGGGTGACACATTCACATGTGATTATAAACATCAATGGGCTCTCCAGCTGGACTGTTGTCCGCAGCAAGGCAAAAATAAAAAAACAAATCAATGGGCAGGTGCTTCTTTTTCTGGAGCTAAACGTTACAGAAGGACAACACAAGCTCTGGGTTTACCTATTGCCCCGCAACGTGCCATACACTGAGGTAAATATCACATTTCTTTGTTTTAATGTCCAGTAAACCTTCTCACAATAATTTCTTAGATGTGGACTCCAAGTTCTTCTGTGACGGCATTCAATCCATATTTCAACTCATTCCAAGTTTTTTTAGTTTTTTTTATTTCACCTTTATTTAACCAGGTAAGCCAGTTGAGAACAAGTTCTCATTTACAACTGCGACCTGGCCAAGATAAAGCAAAGCAGTGCGATAAAAACAACAACAACACAGAGTTACATATGGGATAAACAAAAATGTACAGTCAAAACACAATAGAAAATCTATATACAGTGTGTGCAAATGTAGTAAGTTATGGAGGTAAGGCAGTAAATAGGCCATAGTGCAAAATAATTACAATTTAGTATTAACACTGGAGTGATAGATGTTCAGAAGATGATATGCAAATAGAGATACTGGGGTGCAAATGAGCAAAATAAATAACAATATAGGGATGAGGTAGTTGGGTGGGCTAATTACAGATGGGCTGTGTACAGGTGCAGTGATCGGTAAGCTGCTCTGACAACAGATGCTGAAAGTTAGTGGGGGAGATAAGAGTCTCCAGCTTCAGAGATTTTTGCAGTTCGTTCCAGTCATTGGCAGCAGAGAACTGGAAGGAATGGCGGCCAAAGGAGGGGTTGGCTACGGGTGGGTGTTGCTATGGTGACCAATGAGCTAAGATAAGGCGGGGATTTGCCTAGCAGTGATTTATAGATGACCTGGAGCCAGTGGGTTTGGCGACGAATATGTAGTGAGGACCAGCCAACGAGAGCATACAGGTCACAATGGTGGGTAGTATATGGGGCTTTGGTGACAAAACGGATGGCACTGTGATAGACTACATCCAATTTGCTGAGTAGAGTGTTGGAGGCTATTTTGTAAATGACATCGCCAAAGTCAAGGATCGGTAGGATAGTCAGTTTTACGAGGGCATGTTTGGCAGGAAGCCAATTCTAGATTTAACTTTGGATTGGAGATGCTTAATGTGAGTCTGGAAGGAGAGTTTACGGTCTAACCAGACACCTAGGTATTTGTAGTTGTCCACATATTCTAAGTCAGACCCGCCGAGAGTAGTGATTCTAGTCAGGCGGGCGGGTGCAAGCAGTGTTCGATTGAAGAGCATGCATTTAGTTTTACTAGCATTTAAGAGCAGTTGGAGGCTACGGAAGGAGTGTTGTATGGCATTGAAGCTCGTTTGGAGGTTTGTTAACACAGTGTCGTGTCCAATGAAGGGCCAGATGTATACAAAATGGTGTCGTCTGCGTAGAGGTGGATCTGAGAGTCACAAGCAGCAAGAGCGATATCATTGATATACACAGAGAATAGAGTCGGCCCGAGAATTGAACCCTGTGGCACCCCCATAGAGAATGCCAGAGGTCCAGACAACAGGCCCTCCGATTTGACACACTGAACTCTATCTGAGAAGTAGTTGGTCAACCAGGCAAGGCAGTCATTTGAGAAATCAAGGCTATTTAGTCTGCCAATAAGAATGCGGTGATTGACAGAGTCGAAAGTGAATCTCCACCGCCATCAATTACAATATCATCCCATGCATCTGTGTTGTTACCACTGCATTACATAATTTTAACAGCTGTTTCAATTGAACTCAAATTCAAAAGCGTCGCAATTTTCTTAAGTCAGTATCTTTCTGATCTATTTACAATATGTATCTATCAATCTCTACTCATTCATAGGTAATGAAGCAAAATAAGACGTTTGAGTTCATCCGTGCTTGCTCTGACTGCTACCTAAGGCCCAATGCCCGATACAGAGTGACCTTGGACCTCGAACAGGGCTTCAGCGTCCATCCCAAGGTAAGAAATTCCATAAAGAATGTTTTATGTGTGTTAATGACTGATTTGAAGACATGTCATGATCTACTGTGCTATAATGTAATAGAATCTAAGCTAATAGGTAAGGAAAAGTGTGCATGTTTGTTTACAGTGCCTCATCCATTGAAACAACACAGATGTCATTATTGCGCCGCACCTGTCCTCTATGACCAATAACTCTGCTTTTTGTGTTATAACTCACTAGGTTTTTCTCCTCCAGATATGCTTTAAAGTACATTCTCTGTCAAATGGGCATAGAATATTTAGCCGTTTTGTCAGAAGGGATTCTGTGTGACCTCCCTCTCTCTTTCTCTGTCAGGAGAAAGATTTGCATATTCATAATGGCCCAGATCAACATGCCACATTTACAGTCCTCTTGGACAGTAAAGTTACCAAATTTAAGCTGATGATTCAGGAGTTCAAGAGGATGGGGCAAAAGAAGGTGTGGAAACGCCAATGGTTTGAACCGATATTGCTAAAGCCAGGTAACTGTTATCTCACATCTATTTATAGGCCTACAACTACCTTTCCCCTACCAGCAACTGATTTTCAACAGATTTTCATCTACCTGCAAATAAACACAAAACATGTTAATTTCCACTGTATTTTGAATATTTTTGTTTTTTTCCAAAAGGAAGCAATCTCACAGAGTCAGACTGGCTGCATAATCTGTGTCGCATCCTGGAGCACCTGTCAACCAAGGAGTTCAAGAGGCTTAAGTGGCTAATTAGAACCTCAAATAAACTCCCACAGCCCAGTATCTCCAAGAATGACCTGGAGTGCTTGGAGGAGTGTCACGAGCTTGCAGAGCTAATGGTAAAGAGCTGGGCGATGAATGGCTCCATTTCAGCCACACGATTTCTCATGGAAGAACTGCCACGCAAAGACGAAACAGTGACATCTTTGCTTCTGCCCTTCCTGGAGCAATGTGGGGAGCTAAAGGTGGCGTGAGAGTCAGTGGTGTGGACAGCCTTAAAGGACCTTGGGAAGGTGCTTTCCCTCAGGGTTCTATACTAGAAGCATCAGGAAAAGGAAAGTAGAAGTGAACTTGCACACTGTTTTGGCTGGACACAACAAAAACCCTAAGGAGAAAGCAAACACACATTGTTGAACAAATGCCAGATAATGAGATTTATTGTGTTCTTTGCAAAGATTTGTGCTCTTTTGCATGACGAAAATGTCTGCACTGTGTACTTGGTTAAAAAATATGTATGTGTGTAATTTAATAATTTTAAGCATTCAAATGTACTTTATACAATGTCAATATTTTCTACCTGTTGGAATTGTAAAGTTGCTCAGAGTTTTTACAATTGTTATTTTTGTTCTAGTCCAATAAAACATTTTTTTTAAACGAATGTTATTTTTCTTCTGAGTTGACATCACAGTCCCTCCATCCACATTTTTGAAACATGCTGTTTTATTGAAAGACTACTAAAGGAAGCTTATTGGGGCCAAGTGAAGAGAATAAATAAATAAACAGGGACAGGTGATGGTACTTATCCTTTTTCTTGCACAACTGTAATATTTAGCAATATTTCGAGGATAAAGTCTAAAATAAATTTTGTGAATAAAGTGGCAATATTTCGAGAATAGAGTGGCAATGTTTTGAGAATAAAGTCGACATTTTGGGGATTTGGTTAATTGCATGTCTCCTTGGCTCCCTGTTGCTGTGCCCACTTCTATTGAAATGCCTCAGATGACCTGGTGAAACTATAGGCTTACTTTAGAATTGGCTTTAGTAACAAGCAAATCCTTGCTCTTTAAGCACATAACCATATTATTATAAGTATTAGGACCAGGAAGCGGTTGTGCCACAGATAATTTTCAAAAGGAGAAACCGTGGTTGCATACATAGGTAGAGATTGGTTGGTTGTGTGTTAATGCAGTGTGTGTTTGTGTGCTGTAAAAAGTAGGGGCAAAACAAACAAATGGCCATCAATCTAATGATCTAACACACTCGATCAAACAGGTGTCACTGCGCACTCACGCGTATCAATCGATCTAATAAATCGATCTAATAACTCGCAAGCACACCATGTTTCCCCCTGGATATTTCAGACTATAGGCATAAACTCTTCTAACCGCCATCGTGCGTTATGAGCACAAACAAAAAACGTTCTGGCACTGTCACTGAATGCGAAAAGAACTGGGGTTGAGTCCCTGTCAGTCTGCCCTCCGAATTCGCTATTCAACGTTCTGCTGCGTAGCCTAGGCGAACACCATGCAAAATATATTTGCATAATGGCAACTATTAATGGCTTTATCCATGGTGCTTTCAGTAGTATTTCCTCGTAAGGCAACTATCCGTCTAACGACTATAAGCAGGGTTGCCAGGTCAAGCGAAAATTTCTAGGCCAATGAACACTCAAACCCGTACAAAAGGCCTGAAACTATCCCTTTTTTCTTCACAGGAAGAGAGGAGTTGCCATATCTAAACCCTTTTCCCATAAAGTTATCAATAATAATAATTAGCCATTTAGCAGACGCTTTTATCCAAAGCGACTTACAGTCATGTGTGCATACATTTTTACATATGGGTGGTCCTGGGGATCGAACCCACTACCCTGGCGTTACAAGCGCCATGCTCTACCAATTGAGCTACAGAGGACCACCAAACGTTATAAAGCCAATTAGGAAGGAATATCGTAGTAACTTGTACCGACGTTAGAAGTAAAATTAGAAAAAATAATTATTATTGCAAGCTATGACATTGCTTAATCATAGCAGTCAAACGAGTTGAAATCGACATCCATTGATGGAAAATGATCTGGCGAGTTTAATAAGGGCGAATGATCTTTCCTCTTGCCACATATTCAAATTCATGTATTATGTCATAAGGCACAAGGGGTATGGTATATGGCCAATATACCATGGCAAAGGGCTGTTCTTAAGCACGACTCAACGCGGAGTGCCTGGATACAGCCGTTAGCCGTGGTATATTGGCCATATACCCCCGGGGTACCCCCGGGGTACCTTATTGCTATTATAAACGGGTTACCACTGTAATTAGAACAGTAAAAAGTAATGTTTTGTCATACCCATGGTATATGGTCTGATATACCACAGCTTTCAGCCAATCAGAATTCAGGGCTCGAACCAGGTTTATAAATGTAAATAAATCCCCTTTGCACATGTGCATAACTATAGATAAATCCGACAGGAGAGTTTGAGTGATGAAAGTTGGACAGAGGATCTCAAAATCTCTGAGCAAGAAACACTTGGATGAACATAAAAAAACGAATGTTAGGCTATTTTCTGGCAATTATGCTGTTATTATGTGCCAGATATTAAGACTACACACTGTTATAAATAGCCCATTTGCGAGAATAACTTGTCATTTCAATAGGCATAGGCTACAGACTAAAATCTGGGTATATGATTGAAATTACATTTTACCATAGTTTGCTTAGCTAAAGGCAGGTAGCCTATAGCCCAGGGGTGTCAAACGTACGGCCCGCGGGCCGGATCAGGCCCGCAAACGGGTTTAATCCGGCCCGCGAGATGATTTTTTTTTTTTTAAGTATAAAAATGCGCTGCAATTTTTCAATAAAATAAACTGCTTTTCCAATTGCGTCCACTGGATGGCGCAATAGCAATTGTGTTAAGCAAGCAAACTGTTTATACCGGGGCAGAGCAAGTAGGTCAAGCACGTGCAGCCAATGAGCTACTTTGTTTTGCCCGCGATATTTATTACGGCTTCTACTTTTAACATTATGTGCTTTGGCACCCTCATTGCCCCAATATGTCTCTGTCAAAAAAGAGAAAAGTGGACGCAGAGTGCAGAGTGTTCCAAGAAAAATGGTCATCCTATTTAATCACGGAATTGAATGGGAAAGCTGTATGTTTGGTGTGTTCAGAGCATGTTGCAGTGCTGAAAGAATATAACCTTCGTCGCCACTATGTGAGTCTTCATGCTGACAAATATGACAACTTTCAAGGACAGCGGAGATGAGAGAAGGTGAATGAACTGTTGGCGGGTCTGAAGAAACAGCAGTCTGTGTTTACTCACAGCCGAGACATCAGTGACGCTGCAGTGAAAGCTAGCTACCTCATTGCTAATGAAATCGCAGTGGCTTCAAAACCATTTAGTGAGGGTGAATTTGTAAAAACATGCATGATGAAGGCAGCGGAGATTGTGTGCCCTGAAAAGCGGCAGGCTTTTGCAAATATCAGCCTGACAAGAAACACAGTTGCAGACAGGATTTCCGATCTTTCAGTGGATTTGGACAGCCAGTTGAATCAAAAAGTAAAGTCATTTATTGCGTTTTCGGTTGCAATTGATGAAAGCACGGACATTACAGATGTTGCACAACTGGCCATTTTTTCATCCGCGGAGTTGATGACACATTTACCGTCACCGAGGAGTTTGTGGAGTTGGTGCCGATGACAGATACAACGACAGCAGCTGATATTTTTACCGCACTCGTCGGCGCGCTGGACAGGGTTGGAGTGGACTGGTCCCGCGCTGTCAGCCTGGCTACAGATGGTGCGCCCTCAATGATCGGGAAAAAAGCAGGCGTTGTGACAAAGTTCAGAGAGAAAGTGCAATCTGCAAATGGAGGACGTGATTGTTTGACTTTTCACTGTATTTTGCACCAGGAGGCTTTGTGTTGCAAGTCATTAAAGATGGATAACGTCATGAAGGTGGTCATCCAAACTGTTAATTTCATCCGATCCAGAAGCCTGAATCACTGTCAGTTTGACAGCCTTCTCAGAGAGAAAGACCACATCTATGGCCTGCCATACCACACTGAGGTAAGATGATTAAGCCGAGGTGCTGTGCTGAGGCGTTTCTTTGATTTACGAGAAGAAATTGAACAGTTCATGGAAGAAAAGGGCAAACCAGTGTTAGAATTTCATTCCGCAGAATGGATGCCGGACCTTGCATTTATGGTGGATGTTACAGAGCACCTGAATAACTTGAACAAACAGCTGCAAGGGCGCAACAAAGTTGTCATGCAGTATTATGACAGCATACGTTCTTTCAAGTTGAAGCTGTCATTGTGGGAGACGCAAAAAAAATGTGTGCGCGACCCAACATGTGGCAGACATGAAGCGGTTCAAAGATAAAATAACTGGACTGTTACGGGAGTTTGAGCAACGCTTTCAGATTTATGTTTATATGTTTTTATGTTGATGTGCTATTGTTTTTAATTGATTTTATTTTATTTGTATATTTAACCTATTCTTGACTCTGTGGTTCTTGCACTTGTTTGGGGAACAGGATTTCATTATTTTTATCTACATTTCTGCCTGAGAAATGACACCCTGATATAGTTCTGTGATCTGTGAAACAGTTCTGTTAATCACTGAGGCATTGTGTGTTTGTGTGTTCTTTTTCTTTAGAATTTTCAAATAAACTTGACGTGTTTTATGATTAATAGTGATGTTGTGCTTGTACTATTTTGGACACACTGTCCTCAGGCTCCAGCTTTATGTTGTATGTTGATCGTATTAAAACAAAGAAAACAATCTGAAGTTGTTGTTTTTAAGTTATATATACCATGATTTTTCCGGTCCGGCCCACTTGGGAATAGATTTTCCTCCATGTGGCCCCTGAGCTAAAATGAGTTTGACACCCCTGCTATAGCCCATGATAGGCCTACATCTAATTTCAGATAGTCTACAGTAGCCTAGACAAGATGTAGGCAAGATTTAAACTGAACAATTAAGCAGCTTGCTTAGTTCAAATTAACTACTGAGGATGGGATCATAATTTCAATCACTGAATTAAATATTAATAATAGGTATATGAACTGAATATGCTTGTCAACAACAGCCAGTGTTTATTTATTTTTTAATTCGTTTTACCTGTAGCATAATCTGACTACTGTTACAGTCAATCTAATGCGTTCATAATAACACAAGGCTACAACGACAAGCTGAAGTCATAGGCTATTTATTAAATTGGTTTGCCTGTCATGCCTACTCCTGCTCCCTCCCTC